TCCGGGATCCGATCCCGCCATGTCAGCTTCAGTATTGTGTAAAGGTAACTGAGATAGAGGTCATTCAGCTTCCTGGCTTGGTTAGTGTAAACTTTCCAGGTCTCCGCCTCGATACAGCGATGTCGTCAAAAAGACGGTCTTGTACATCTTCAACTTAGTGTTTAGTTGTAGGCGGTGGTGCGTTTACACGGAGGCTTGCAGCCGACTAAAGGACTGGTTGGCTTTAAAGATCCGTTGATCAATCTCGTCGTCGATCCTCCTGCTGTATAACAATGTTCTTCCTACATAAGCGAAGGTGTCTAAACCCTTCAGTTCGGTGCTGTGGAAAGAAATACGAGGTGTATTGTATTCCGCACTGCAGTTAGATCCTGATCACAATTCTGGATCTATTGATGGTCACCCCAAATTTGGCGCAGGCAGTGGCGAAGAGGTCCATGCTCCTTTGCATGTCTTTCTCCGTCGCGGTGTAGAGGGCGCAGTCGTCAGTGAAAAGCAGGCTCTAGACTGAAGTAGTAGACACACACGTTAGGCCGACTATTGAGAAAGCAACCGTCAGTTCCGTAAGCGATGCGGATCCCAGGACACTCATCACGGTAGGCGTCCACCAGCATGGCAGAGCACATAAGAGGGAAGAGGATGGGAGCTAGTACGCAGCCCCGCTTTATTCCGTTGGTCATTGCCGGTTCCCTTCCCGCTTTTAGAAGTTGACGATGGTCGTGTCCTTTAAATTCTGAGGAACCTGTCTTTGTCACCACATCTTCTGGTATACAGGGCAGCCGTCCCACAATGTCGTTCCGGATGGCAAAGATGACACCAGCATTTTGTCGCTCTGCCTTTGAGCGACCGCTCCAGAAGGTGTGGCCGGCACCCACACCCTCCAACTGACCCTGCTCAGATAATCGCTTCTCGCTGAGAGCAGCGATGTTCAACTTGCAGTGGGTCAGATCTCGGGCGACTAGCGCTGTACGCCCTCCCGACAGGTTGCTCCTCGGATTGGCAAAGAAAGAACGAACACTCCTGGCTTATATTGTGGGCGGACTCACCTTAGCAGCCTGAAAACTACGGCGACGGGGAGAGGGGGCGGTATACCTGTTGTTGTTGGTTTGATTGTTTCGATCGCGTATTTTGCAATCTGTGGGCCGCAGTAGCTACAGAAAAAAAGTGAGACCAGCAGTTG